AAGTGGGATAGCTTCAACGCATTAGAACACGTGCATACTAACTGGTGCGGTGGATGCCTATCCTTTAAGCTGAAAAGGACCAACGAGCCTTAAGAAGAAAGAAACTCATTGAAGAAAGAAACCTACAAGTAGGAAAACTACAAGTAAGAAACTACAAAGCAACAAGAAGAAGGAAAACAACAGGGGACACAGCGAGCAGCAGCCACCCAACTGCAGACAGACTACTGGAAACATCGCAAGAGAACCACTCGCCGCCTGGAGAACACGACTGCCTCCCAATGTACCCTTGGTAACGTACAATTTTAATCTAACTATTTTTTGCGATTTATCTCTGTGTGTGTGTGATTTTTACAACTTTTATTTGCATTTTTGCGCATTTACTCTATATATTGTCGATTTCACGTATTTTCCCCATTTTTACGTATTTTTCTATTTTACATTTATATATTTTTGCGTTTACCCTTGACATTATTGAATCTTTTTGAAACAACTTTCCATTTAAAATGTCTACTAACGGTTCAGATGATTACCAACCAGCTGAAATTCCTGATAACGTTCATGCGAACATTGAACCTTATAGATTATCTGAAATATTTTCGATTGTACCCGAGTACGATGGAAACCCGATATTGCTATCGACCTTCATCAACGCCTGCCGAACGGCATATCAAATGGCCGTCGAGGAGCAGCGGCTTCTCGTCGTTTTACATATTAAAAACAAACTTCGCGGACGTGCCGCCGAACTTGTGAACAGCCGAAACCCTTCCACGTGGGAAGACATACGGTCCCTGTTAGAAACCCACTTTGGAGATCTTAGAGATCTCACATCTTTAATCGCGGATCTTCAACACATGCGCCAACTCCCCAACGAATCACCCCTAACCTTTGCATCTAGACTGCAGACGCATGCAGCCAAAATGCATTCCGCCGTGAATAGGCAAAATCTAAATCGCGAGCAAAAATCTGCTCAAAGTTCCGTCATCGAAACGATGACTTTAAATTGTCTATTAACAGGATTAGACTCAAAAATAGGACCTGTTGTGCGATCAGGACATCCCACGGATATCTTGACCGCAGTTTCGTATATCAAACGAGAGTTACAACTTTCATATTTGGAACGACAAAAATTCGCCAGGGCCCCAAACCCGAATCAAAATTCAGTTAATCGAAGACCAAACCCTAAAATTTGTAATTTTTGTAATCGTCCCGGTCACTTGGCAAATGAATGCCAACGGACACAACAGCCTACAAGTTTTGCCCCAAGACAGTTTAACCAGCCCCAGCCTCAAAATTACCCTAGGTCGAATCAACCTATGCAAGTTAGACCATCTACATCTAACTACCATCAAAATTCTAATCAATATCCTCCCAGACCATCTGTAATACGACAAAATGCGCCTAACGCGAGTGCGCCAAGACCCTCTGTAATTCAGAGCAATCCAAATTTCCAAAACCCTAATTTTCAAAGAAATTTTAGACAAAATCCTCCCAATCGAATTAATTATGTTGCCCCTGATTCTTACGATTATTCCGACTACGGTGAACCAGACCTATACAACACGGACTACGCTAATGAATATGACGATACCCAATACTCCCCTTACACACCTTCCCCATACGATGATTTTAGAGAACCCAGTAACGATTTTTGTTACGAATATAATCAAACCGCCGATACATTTGTTGACAACGCTTATTCGGACATACAACAATTCCAGGATTTTCGGACCAAGTGTTTGAAAGAGAAACCCCCTGCGGAACCCAACGACAGTACCGCGATAGTATGTGCGAACTTAGCGAATCTCAGTGTCGAGGACGCGAACGCGAAACCGTGTGCGAGCGTCAGCAACACTCGCGATCAGATGTTCATATAAACCCTCCGTTTATAGTCCCGTCGACAATTCACCCCGTTAGCCCAGACAACTTATATCACATTAAAGATGCTACTGGAAAATTCAAAATTCTCATTGACAGTGGTGCAGGTTGCTCCATTTTCAAACGTAACACTTGTCAAAATTATACTAATCGTGTCGCAGAAAATATCTCTATCCGAGATATTACTGACAAAAAAATTAGTATTACTGAAGCAGTCTTAGTCCCATTTGCTCCCAATGATTATCACAAAATTTATGTCCATGATCTAGATATTTCATTCGATGGCCTTCTTGGGTCAGATTTTCTTGAACATTATGATTGTATTATTGATTTGAAAAATCGTCAATTGATTACAAATTTCAAAACAGTCCCTCTTTTCAAAGTAGGTGACGAAAATAATTCCAAAGCTTCTCAATTTAAAGAAAAGTCCCAAGCTTCGCAATTTAAAGAAAATTCTCAAGTTCAAAATGTTATTTCCATTCCTCCCAGAGTTGAACAAGTTGTCAAGCTCAAATCCGAGCTTAGAAATACTGAAGCCATTCTTATGGCGTGTGAGGTAGAAAAAGTCCGTCTACCCAGTTCCATAGTTAAAATTGATTCTAAAGGCGAATTCCTTACTACAGTATTAAACTGTAATGCCATTCCAAAAAATGTAATTTTACCCCAATTAACTTTCGAGCCATTTAACGAAACTTCTATCAATAATTTCAACACTTCTTTACAAAATCAAAGTCAGTATAACCGTAGAGATGTTATTAGAGATCAATTACGTCTCGATCATCTCAACGAAGAGGAAAAAGATTTAATTACGAATCTTTGTTTAGATTTTTCGGACATATTCTATTTAGATGGTGATAGCCTGTCATTTACAAACGAAATTAAGCATTCCATTGATACCACTACCAGTAAACCAGTTTTTACCAAATCCTACCCATACCCTTATGTCCACAAGCAAGAAGTCAAAGATCAAATTTCAAAATTACTAAAACAAGGTATTATCGAACCTAGCACATCGCCATGGAATTCTGCGGTGTGGGTTGTACCAAAGAAAATGGACGCCTCTGGTAAACAGAAATGGCGTATGGTGATTGACTATCGTAAGCTTAACGAAATCACCATCGATGATAAATATCCCCTGCCAAACATTTCCGATCTACTTGATCAATTAGGGTAATGCCAGTACTTTAGTACACTGGACTTGGCATCTGGATTTCATCAAATCGAGATAAATCCAGTTGATGTTCCTAAAACTGCATTTTCAGTTGAAAACGGACATTACCAATTCTTGAGGATGCCTTTTGGTCTCAAGAGCGCTCCTGCCACGTTTCAACGTGTCATGGACAACATCTTGATGGGTATACAAAACGAAAGATGTCTTGTATACATGGATGACATAATTGTCTATTCCCCCTCCATCCAAGAACACATCAGTAGGCTTACCGAAATTTTTAAGCGTCTTCGGAAGTCGAATTTCAAAATCCAGCCTGATAAGTGCGAATTCCTCAGAAAGGAAGTAGCCTATCTTGGTCATGTAATAACCCCTGATGGCGTTAAGCCCAATCCAGATAAAGTGGATTGCATAAAAAATTTCCGTCAGCCCAAGAATCCTAAAGAAATAAAATCTTCCTTAGGTCTTGCAGGTTACTACCGACGCTTTATACCAAACTTTGCCAAAATTGCGAAACCCCTTACCAGACTATTACAGAAAGACGCAGTATTTGACTTTGATAGCGAGTGTGTTAAGTCATTTGATACTTTAAAAAATGCTTTAACAACATCTCCTATACTGATCTACCCCAACTTTGAAGAGCCTTTTGTGCTTACAACAGACGCAAGCGCTTTTGCGATATCTGGCGTTCTTTCCCAAGGTCCCATAGGTAAAGATCTCCCGATAGCCTATACATCTCGTACACTTTGTAAAGCAGAAACGAGATATTCCACCATTGAAAGAGAACTTCTAGCTATTGTCTGGAGTGTAAAACATTTTAGACCTTATTTGTATGGTCGAAAGTTTAAACTTGTAACAGACCATACGTGGCTTTTCTCTTTCCGAGACACCGGAAGTAGATTAGCAAGATGGCGCCTCAAGCTAGAGGAGTACGACTATGAAATAGTTTACAAGCCAGGCAAGGCTAATAAAAATGCCGATGCCCTATCACGTATCAAATTACCCAAAACTGTTAACGCCCTTACCCATAGTGACGAAGAAGGAGAACCTTCTACCCAATTTTCCGAAAGTGAATTTGATATCTTTGCCCGCCTTTACAAAACCACATCCCTGATCGATTATTCCAAAATCCAATTTTCAAATTCCCAACTCCTAGACAAGAGTCATAAACATATGGTCACGTTTTTCAGACAAAACACTCTATCTGATCTTCACGAAAAAATTATCGAAGACATATTCGAGGAAAATCTTGATTTTTCTGCAGATAAAATTAACATCGCTTCTAGCAAAACAATTAAAGATAGAAAATACTATATTATTCCTGTGCCATACGATCCCGTAACTTGCATACAGCATCTTTTCTCTGTAATTTTAACCAACAAAGGTGTATTCGACCTATCAAAACAAATTTACGTTGAAAATAATTTGGACTTACCCATTTCAGAAATTTTCTCTTTTATTTTTTCGGATGATAATATCAAACTTGTCGTTTGCCAAAACGTCACCAAAACTCCTAGTCCCGATGAAATCCCCGTCATTTTAGATCAATACCATTGTGGTAAGAAAAACATTCATCGAGGAATTAATGAAACAATGAGGCGAATTCGTGAACGATATAATTGGTCCGGCTTAACTAAAGACGTTGAGCATTTCATCAAAAAGTGTGAAATTTGTCAAAAGACCAAAATTTGTCGTAAAAACCTCAGTGCCCCTTTTGTAGTAACTGAAACCCCTAAAGCCCCGTTCGAAAGAATCAACATTGACATTTTGGAAATCCCACCTAAATGCTACGCTCTCCCAATCCGAGACGAGCTAACAAAATTTTCTCAAGCCTATTCAATTAGCGACAAATCTGCAAAATCTGTAGTAAATACTCTACTTTTCTATTTCCAACGTTATGGTACACCTCTCCGAATACACTGTGATTACGGAAAAGAATTTTACAACGCCCTCATGAAAGACCTTTGTAGTCTTTATGACATTAAATTAACTTTTTCTAGGTCAGTCATCCCCAGTCCAATGGCTCGATTGAGCGATTTCACGCCACTTTATTGGAAATGATCAGATCCCATGTATCCGAAAATCCCGACGAACATCCCTTCAATATTCTTCCCTATGCTGTTCAGTGCTACAATAGCACTAGAAATAAAACTACTGGCTTTACACCATACGAGCTCGTGTTTGGCCACACCTCTGGTCGTCCGCCCGAACACATATATTTAGAAAAAGAATTGATGTCCAAGTATGTTCGAGACATTCGGAATAAACTCGAATATTACTACAAAATTGCCCGCGTGAGAACTGACGAACAGAAGCAAAAAGCAAAAATTCGCTTTGATAGTAGAGTGTCACCCAATTTACAATCATATAAAGTTGGCGATAAAGTCTTTGTGAAACAGTCTCAAATTTCAAACAAACTTCAGAACAAATTTGATGGCCCATTCGAAATTACTCAAGTTTTTGAAAATTCTGCGCTCCTTAAGAACCCGGAAACAAATAGAATAAGTAAAGTTAATTTTGACAGACTGAAACCATGTTTTGAGACTTAGTTTCTCTTTCAGGTGCAGTGTGCAGTCTGCTGTTTCTTGCGGCTGTCACAGCCCAGATAGACAACAAACCGCTTAACAACACCTTAGGTATCTATTTTCATGAAGACGCCCCTCTTAAGATTTCCAACGAAATTTGGACACTCCTTGTATATAAAGACTTAGAACTCATTAAGAAAGCACTTGACGATAACAACTATATTCTGGAACACTTATCATATCTCGTAGACAAACCCACCAATCGTATGAAAATATTTAGCGGCGAAATTAAAACTCATACAAGTCTCCTTTATCAAATTTCTCGTTCCTTGGAATCTAAATATTACGCGATCTTCGATGACACTGTAAGCGCATCGCGGATGAAACGCGGTCTGATTAACGCTATAGGTACCATATGGAAAGCAATAACCGGCAACCTCGATTCATCGGACGGTGAATACTATAACGATTGTATTAACAAAATTTCTAAAGATGAACATGAGCTCGAAAACCTCATGAAGAACCAAATTTCTGTTACCATGCCGGTTATCAAGAATTTTAATAGCACTATTCAAAAACTTATGATTGATGAAACTACGTTTAATGAAGATATTAAGGTTATTGAAAACAAAATTTATGAAATTTCAGACGATCTTGCATTTTATGAAGCTAAATTCCAATTTTTAGAAGTTTGCGAAGAATTAATGGAAAGCTACATGTTTCTAGAAGAGACAATTAATGATATTCTAAATTCAATTACTTTTGCACGTTTACAAATAATACATCCTTCTATTATCACTCCTCAAGACTTAGTAAATTCTCTTCAAGAAATCTCTCACACTTTGTCGAGAAATAATTTACCCCTTCCGGTTAATTTGGCAACAGTGTCAGAGTACCTTAATCTTATGGAACTCGAAGCGTATCAAACTAAAACAAGAGTAGTATTCGTTCTACGCATCCCGTTATTAGAGCCCGAAATGTATACTTTATACAGAGTGATTCCTCTACCCATTCTCGATAAACGTACTGGTTTGTTTCATGTAGTCTCCACTATATCGAGGTACATTGCTAAAGATAGCGATTCTCTTTTGTACGTTTCCTTTCAAAATTTAGGTAGTTGTAAAGTTCTTCAGTCTCAGGTGAAAATCTGTTTCAACCTCTTGCCGTATCCAATAGACAGTAATGCAGTCTGCGAAGCACAGTTGTTGCGAAATCCGGTCGATCTGCCGACAGCCTGCCAAATAGCAATTGAGGCATTGCAAGATCACAAAATCCAAGAACTTGCAACCAATTTTTGGCTAATCACCATATCTAGCCCTCTGCCAATTACGATGAAGTGTGGACAACGAGAGACTACCACCAAAGTGATAAAAGTTAATTCACTTTTAAAAATGCAGCCCGAATGCAGTGGCTTTGTAGGCACCACGAGATTACATTCTAGATATTATGTTAGCACCTACAAGAATATCACATCAAGCTAAGCAAGATCGATACTGAAGAACTCGAAATTGCCAATCACAAATTAAACCAATATTCTGAACAACTGGACAAAATTATGAACGCGCCGTTTGTTTCGACACATATCTCATGGTTCACGTATTTCATCATCACCTTGTTAGTTATCATCGTAGCTTTGTACCTGTTCTGCAAGTGCAGAAAACGTAGACCACTCAGCATCTGCGCATCAAATTATCCAGCCGATGGCCCATCTCCAGAAGCACCAAAAGTCCGGTACATTCCCAGACTTTTTCCTCGACGTAGACCAACCATCCAGCCACATGAAGAAGACATCGAGCTGCAGTGAGTGTTCCGTGAAGTGTTTTCACTGTTCAAAAAGTCATTTTCAATTTTCGTGTTATCTTCCATGTGATTTTGCCCGTACGACTGTACGATTGTATCTTATCATTTGTTTGTTCCAGCTTTGCTTTTAGATGTTATTTTGCATCGCCAATGTACCGCATTTATGCTAACAATTTTATTTTTCAGAATCTGTATTTTCTGATTTTACTTTTGCAATTTGTATTTTGCAATTTTACTATTTTTATATTTGTATACCTTTTTATATTTTTACAATGTTTACAATTTTACACTTTACATTTTTACAAATTTATACTTTTGACATTTTTTTTGAGATTTTTACATTTTTCAATTTTTGTCAAAAGTTGTCGCATAGCAACAACTTTTTGTAATAGGGGGGAGTTGTTATATGGCCATAGTAACTACGCAGTTATTATACAATGTTGCACCAGACGCTGTGTCAGCATATGATAACAACTTCTCGCTAATCCGTTGCTAGAATAGTGCCTTTGCTGTTTTCTACTAATTCTTAGTCAGCTTTCCGAATGTATAAATAGGCCTCGCCGCCATATCCTGTTGTTCAATACCCGGTTAGACTCCGTATATGTCACATTTGTAAACCTTTGTATTTTATATGGACTGAAGCTTCAGTCCTCAAATAAAATTTTTTTAAAAAGTTATTTCTAAATCTAATGATTTAAGATATATATACAGGGTCAGTAGAAAAAACGGAACGGTGGATTATCTCATCCACCGTCAAATATAAATGAACCAGATTTTGTGCGACGGGGTAGCTCATCATGAAGAATTCAAAAATTATATTTGCAAGGTTTCCAAGTTTATAGTTTTCTCTCTACGTTAGGGAATTTTAAAATTTTAAATACAGACAATTGATTGCAATAATAAAAATTAGGGTATTAAATTTAAAATTTTGAAATTCCCTAACCAAGAGAGAAAACTATAAACTTGGCAACCTTGCAGATATAATTTTTGAATTCTTCATGTTGAGTTACCTCTTCGCATAAAATTTGGTTCATCTATATTTGACGGTTAGTAGTAGTAGTAGAAAGATTATTTAGCACGTTTGGCTACATAAACAGAATATTTGTAGGTAAACAACTTAGAACTAGTAAATTCAAGCCATATGATGTATGATGTAAATGCTGGGCAACCTATAATTGTAGATTTAACAAGTGATTTCTTAATTTAATTCGTAAAGGATGTCAAGAACCAAAATCCGCCAACGTTGATTCTTTACTGCGGCTGAAATATTCATTTTTAGAGCGTTAGTGAATTAAAAAAAAGCAGTATAAAAACCGGAATGTCCAACTGATAAGGCTGAAAATTTTTTCACTTGTTATTTACAGTAAGATAAATACATTCACCAACTTTTATTAAAATAAAACCATTTAAACTGGGTGTTCGGATTTATATGTCACTTAGTATATGATTAAATGATACACATAATTCAAGTTTTTGACGAAAATAATGAAAATGATCATAATAAACCATATACATTTAAAATAAAAAATGTAACTATTAGTTTGACTAAAATATACAGGGTGTTCGCTTAAAAAGTACAACTTTGTGGTATTGCGCTTATTTAAAACATATATTGCCTAAAAAACTTCATACTAAACCCTACAACTAACCGTCATGCCAAAAGACAAGGGAGGAGTCAGTTTATAGTAGGATATCCCATAAATATAAGAAAAATAATTTCGTATTAAACAAATTTGAAGTAGGTCATAAGTTGGAACCTATTTACAGAGGACCTTATACAGTGAAAAGTATTTGCTCACCTAATGTATTAGTAGATTTTGGTAATTGTAAAATTCATCAAAATAGAGTTAAGCCATATACAAAAAATGTTTGAGTTTAACATTTTTTCTCAGTCCTCCGGGAAGTGCAATGGTAGAATGAGGATATTGTTATTGTGATCATTGAGTGGAGCGAACTTTGGCGAGCAGTGTATAAGCACGAAATAGATTATATTTGGAACAATAAAATTCATTGACTCAGTACACAGGTATCGAGTATTTTTTCTTAAAAGCACCCCTCTGCCAAGTATATGATACTGTATTAATAGTCCAGCAAAATCAAATATACTAAGTGACATATAAATCCGAACACCCAGTTTAAATGGTTCTATTTTAATAAAAGTTGGTGAATGTATTTATCTGACTGTAAATAACAAGTGAAAAAAATTTCAGCCTTATCAGTTGGACATTCCGGTTTTTATACTGCTTTTTTTTAATTCACTAATGCTCTAAAAATGAATATTTCAGCCGCAGTAAAGAATCAACGTTGGCGGATTTTGGTTCTTGACATCCTTTACGATCGGTTACGATGCCTAGAGTACGGAGACCTGTACGATTTCGTCAACTTAGTGAGTTTGATAGGGGCCGTATAGTGGGACTTCGGGAAGCTGGACTTTCTTTTCGGGCCATTGCAGTTAGAGTGCAAAGAAGTGTAGACACTGTGGTTAGGTGTTGTCAGGGATGGCTTCGAGAAGGCCGTACGCAAAGAGCAAGGGGCACTGGACTCCGCCGTAGAACAACAGACCGTGAAGATCGCCGCCTAATATTATTGGCCTTAAGGGACCGTTTCTCCACTACCAGGTCCATTGCAAATGAATGGTTTGCAGAACACGGAAGACCTATTGGCATGCGAAGTGTTTACCGACGAATGAGAAGTTTTGGCTTGTTTTCATACCGGCCACACTGGGTCCTCCCTTTAACTCGAGAACACCGACGTAATCGCCTTGAGTGGTGCAGACAACGGTCACTCTGGGATCAGGAATGGAACAGTATTGTCTTTAGTGACGAGTCTCGATTTTGGTTAGGCATGCACGATGGTCGTGCCAGGGTTAGAAGGCGACGTGGTGAAAGGAGGAATCCACAGTTTTTTGTTGAAAGACATGTTCATCACACTGCTGGAGTTAGGGTTTGGGGTGCTATAGCTTATGGTTCCAGGTCACCTTTAATCTTCATTAGAGGTAACATGAACGCGCAGCGTTATATCCACGAGGTTCTAGAACCCCATCTTTTACCCTATCTTGACACCCTGGCAGATCCAACTTTCCAACAAGATAATGCCCGACCACATGTTGCAAGAGTCACAATAGACTTCTTTCAACATAATGATGTCACATTGTTACCATGGCCACCAAGATCTCCCGACTTATCCCCAATTGAGCACGTGTGGGATATGATGGGTAGGAGATTGCTCAATTTGCAACGTCCTCCTCAGACTCTAGAAGCACTTCGAGAGGAGTTGGTGGTTGCCTTGAATGAGATACCACAGGATGACATTGACCACCTGATCAGAAGCATGCCTAGGCGCGTTGGAGAATGCGTATTAAAGTTCAAAGGGCTTTAAAGCAGTGCAATCATTTTGAAATTTTTATCATTTACTTATTATGCTTCATTAAGTACTTATACCAAATTTTATTAAAATAAAACCATTTAAACTGCGTGTTCGGATTTATGTCACTTAGTATACTTGATGTTAAAAGAGTGTATGCTTCCTCATTCCAATTTGCGAAACTAAAATGTTCGACAAGCAGCGGAAGAAAACCGAAAAAATGTAATTTTTACATCTTTCCAACAGCGTTTACCAAATGTTTGCTTTGAGCTTTTTATGACTCTCGGATGTCTTTTAATTTCGCACAATTTTCGTTTCCGACTTTAAATTCAAGATAATAATTTATGGCCATAATCTTTGTATACTACTAAACTTACAGTGTAGAAATGATCATTCAGTTGAGATATTTCAGAATTCATTGCTTGGATTTGTCTATCCTTCTCACTTGTAGACTTCTTCAGATTTGTTACTTGCTTTTTCAGCCTATCATTTGATTCCTGTGAAAAATAATTAAAACTATTTTACACCCTTATGTTGAATACCTCTTGGTGCTCAGGAACATGTTTTTTCCATATAGTAGAGCGTTTGTGTCAATCTTGTAATGCCGTCCAAAATACTTTATCTGATAAAATGCTAACAAATAGAGGCGAAATAATATAACCCTGTCTAACACATACTTGTTCACATTATCAGTTGCTTTGTCACCAGACATACCACCGATTTTTGTGACTAATCAAAATATCTAAAGATTTATTTATTTAGTAATGTACATGTACAGAGATATTCTCCAAATATTACAGTCAATCGAACTATCTATTATTATTCCTACTGAATGAATCTAAACTACAACTAAACAAATATATTTAATACATATTATAGTTTTTCACAAGTCGATCACTAAAGTGAATAGAACCATAGTTTGTTTGACACCTAGAAATGTGAAACTGTTCTCTTCACCTAGTACCTCTCCGAGGTACACGAAAATATATGTGATAAGAGGAAGCTACAGACTATGTAATTATTAGTCAGCTTAAATAGAAATTTGGCCAACTCATTTTGCCTGTGAATTTCAAGACTTTTCCACTCAACTACCTGCATGCATATCTCATATGGCAGTCCAGAGTATGGGAATAAAAGTTTAAATAAAACTTTTTTCCAATGTTAGATGTGATGTCGGTAGAAAGGCTACCAATGAGACTGTTATATTCTAGAATACTAAGTAGGAATGTGTTGTTATATTCTAGAATACTAGGTAGGAATGAGTTATGAAATGACTTGATAACTGAGGTACTGTGAAACCCTGAACACACACGACGAATAAAACCCAACATTCTAAAACACTTTATTAAAATATTATCTATGTCTTTGTTGAACCTAATGCTGCTGCTAAAAGTTACTCCTGAAGCACAGAAATGTCCCTCCCCCAGGGGACAATCACTAATAAAATACTGCTGAATCAATGGACGTTAACATTTAAAAAAAAACTGCATTACACACTTTGTAACATTCAAATTTAAAAAATCATTTTCACAAAATTTATTATTATTATTTAAATCAACTTGAATGTCTTTACAAACCTCAATAGACGTAAGAGAATAAAAATATTTTAAATCGTCCGCATATAAAAGACATACACTTTTTTAAAACAATTACACCATTAATAAATAATAAAAAGATGACTGGACCAAAATGAGTACCTGGCCACACACCAGATGGAACGGTTATGACAGACATAAGACTTGGCATCACTCATTTTCAAACACTGTTTAGGGTATATGGGGGACGAACATATCCAGTGTATATAGCACCCTATAACACCTATGTTGGACAGTTTATTGATTAATAAAGCATGATGTTCTCTATCAAAAGCTTGTGTTAGGCCTGTGTACACTACATCCATTTGTTGTTTTCAACATTACTTACTAAGTATTCTTGGAAAACTGCTAATTTTGTTGCAGGTGATCTTCCTTTGAAGAACCCGTGCTGATTTGGGGATAGAGGTGTTGAATGGTTTTTCTGCAATAATGGATTCAAAAACCTTGGACAAAACTGGCGATAAGGATATTCCCCAGTAGTTCTTAATGTCTTTTTGGAACCAGACTTAAATATCGGCACTAACCAAGAGTACTTCCAAAGAGCGGAAAATTCACCTTTATAAAATGAAGGCTTGGAAGACGATGAACAATGGGGAAGCTAGTGATTCACAGCAACTCTTTAGAAATAGTGGTGGTATCCTGTTTAAGTCTGTGCTTTTACTGGAATCCAAGCTAGTAAGATAAATGGAGCAATCTTAAAAACAATTTGCTAATCTGACAATACTATTATAATAGCTATTAGTTTAGAGTGTCTCCAAGAACTGCTTTATTCTATGGAAAGCATTAGACACCAGGTGGGACTAAAGTTTAATGTTGCAAAAACAAATTTCATATTTATGCTTACCTTCAGATTAATTACATAAACTCGAACAAGTAGCATACTTCAAGTATCTAGGAGGCTATATTAGTGAGCAACTTAATTTTCTTTATATTGGATTCAGTTAGGTATGCTTTTGCAGATTAATATATGTGCCTATGATACAATGTAAACAACTAACAACACAAACATTATTTGCAGAAAAATATTCATACAAAGATCTCTCTAGACTTTGTTTGACAGCGTTTCAGAACACCAATAAGTACCCATATTTTAACATTAAATGTAACTAATTAATTTAACTTGAACTCACTTGAAGATTATTAAGAGCAACAATCAACTCTTCATATATTTCTTTTTGATTTGTCATATGTAGGTCTACAGTCAAGTACACAATTGATTTAATTTTAGATTTGCCATAAAAAACCAATGTACATATGTCAGCTGAGACTAAGCATTTCAAAAACCTGAAATAAAGCTTCATTATTATAGAATGTACATGTATTTCTTCCCAGGATGCTTATCAGTCCCACCATCATCACTACTAGGTTCACCATGAGACTCAACTAGAGGTTCTTAATTTTACTAACAATAAGGATGACATTTCTACCAAAATGAGACCCTCTGATACAAAAGTGAACTTCTGTTTCTGAGCTAAGTGATTTTAATTTTCTGTTTTTGTTTCCTTTCTATTTTTCTGTTCTATAGTTTCTCAAAATGGAAAATATTACATTATTGATATATTCATGTGATATCTCAAACTTGGCCTAAGATTATGTTGCTGATCTCTATCCCCATATTACCCTGGCTAGTAAATTAAACAGCAGATATTGAATAAATTCCTTCTCCAACTGTTGACCAACTTTTCATGAAATTAAACATTTGTGCAAATTGAGTGAAAATATGTTTCAAACTTTCAATACAAAAATGTTTCTTTTTTTAGGTATAGGAGCAATGTATTGTGGGAACATGCATTTTCTGATATACATCAGAAATTGACAGTCTGGAATTGCCTAAATACCTAGCACAACTAAATACTGAGTGCATATGATGTTTGCTTTGGATACTCACATTTCTTTTCTGTCATACTGCTGCAACATATCCAAAATGTTGTATTTAAATTCGTCAAAATTGATATCTAAAGACTGGCTAGTTTTCATTATTTCAAATTTACTGAAATCTACTTCTTCTGTGTAATTAAAGGAAAATTCTGAAGGATCTCGAATCTTTATTTCCTGCAATCATATATTAAGCTTAAAATTAACAATCAAGGAGAAAAATACTAAAGTTTCTCTCGGTTTGAAGCAATATTGTACCAAATTTACATCCATTTCAGGAAATATAAAAGTAAGCTTTATGAAGGATATAGATTTAACATATAATATAGTTCCTAACCCGTCTAATTAATTGAATAATTTGTGTAGTAGACAGTTTTCTTTTACTTGCGCTTACCACTGTATCATTTATGTTCGAGACTGTCAAGTTCAAGAGTCTTTCCTCTATATTATTGTTTTGATAGTGAACGAGCAAAACATAACGCTTATTATACACACAAACTTTTTTATTCTTGGACATTTTCTCTGTAAAATAGCAGAAACTTGCATTTTGAAATTTAGAGGTTGACAGAAGTTTGAATCGTACAGAACTGTCAATAGAAATGACTGTATAATGCGGGTCCCACACGATGCTTCCAACGTTGTATACAACGTTGTTTACAGCGTTCGACACCCCACAATTGGTTGTAAATAACGTTGTTTATTATTATGCACAGTGTTCTACTCTGGTTTTACTGTAATTTAAACACTTGAAAAAATACAAATTTTGCTACCTGCTATTTTCCTAGAATGTCATAAAAAAGAAGTTTTGAATAAAATATTGACGAATACCAATGGAGAGATATAAAATTTTAAGCGTAGCAATGTTTACCAAAACGCTAAAGATGATTCTGAACAAAGCAGTAAAACTGGTGGTGTGTATGTTTCATGTAAATTTGTATTTTTACTAATTGTTATCAAATTTTTAACCATTTATATCTCGTGCCCACAATTTGCAGATAAACATAAAGCAATTATTTTTTATTGTAGATTTCCTTGTGTATAAATAGTGTTAGTGTGTGTCTAGGTACTTTGGAGTAATATCAAGAGTAGCATAGAATTGATATTTGAATTACAGTAAAACCACAGTAGAACACTGTGCATAATAATAAACAACGTTGTTTACAGCGTTCGACACCCCAAAATTGGCAAATGTGTCTCTTACACGATGGGATGAACTTTTTAGTTTCGGACGTTCGACGCATGGTCGCGCCAACGTTTATTATCGGTGTCAGTGTCTCGCTTGAACCTTTAAGCATCCCACAAACCGGCGCGAAATAATTGCGGCTAAGTATTCGCAACGAAATTCAGAGCGAAATTCGCAATCTGTTTCACCTGTTTATTCATACCAAAGCGTTTTATTCGCTCCGCGAACGTGAAGGTTTCGACAGGTTGCGTACATTTTATTTTTGCCTTTTGCAATGAGCTCGTCTTCAGAAGAAGAGGAGGCACTACTATTTCTTGCTTTAGAAGAGGAACAAAATGCACGGTAAGTTATGTTTATTTAACGCCATTTGATAGTTGGGTATATATTAAGTTTAACGAAGTACATAAAACAAATATTCAATTTTGTTTAGGAAACGTGGGAAAAGTGGGTACATGATATTAACTTGGAACGAAATAAATTTGGGGAATACCATACCTTGATGCCACAACTTCGGCTGGATGAACAGCGCTTTTACATATATTTTAGAATGACTCCAGAGTGTTTCGATGAAATATTGAACTTGGTGAAAGATGAAATACGAAAATCTGACACAAATTATCGTGAAGCTATTTCGCCAGAAGAACGACTTGCTATTACACTCAGGTAAAAAAATTATATGTATTAAAATTAGTAGGCTTATCGAATACGAAAACTTCAGGGATCGTGAAATAAATATTTTATTGTAATAATTGGACTACATGTTGCCACTAGGATTAAATGTTGCTAAATAATTCGAGGCAGAATTTGCCTCCTCTGTTGGGTATATTATTGGAGTAAACCCAGTGCCGCTTGGGAAGGACGACATACTACTATCATACATACTTGCAGAATTCTGGGTAGACGCTGAAGACATTTCTTCAATATGTTCAAATTCTTCGTGCGCTATTAATTCGGCTATTTTTAGTTTTATTCGGGCTTGACGCTTTAAGGGAAGTGTTTTCACAGTCTGTGCATGTGCCAAGAAAAGTAAATCAATGGCCTCGTTCTCTTTTTTAGGTTTTTTACCTTCAAAATAATTAATGAGCTGTTGTACAGACGAAGATGGTGGTTCATAGCGTTTTCTGCTCGTTTTATATTTTGGTGTAGTTGTAGTCTGCGGAAAGGTGTGCCCTGGAGTAGTCACTGCTGTAGTGTTCAATGAAGAAGGTGGTGCTGTCTGTGTTGCCGAGGCGTTCGGTGCATCTTCTGCATCTACATCAGCATTTTCATCTTCTCCATGGCCGCGGTCTTCCAAATTTTCGGTTTCTACATTTCCAGCCTTTTCCTGATATATATTTGAGTTAAATTCGGCAGTCTCATAATGTATGACGTCAATATCTTTCACATTAGACGACGTTTTGACAAATGCCAAAAAAGGACGGAAAAATTCCATTTAGTCAGCCCACTGCCATTTTTTTATGTTGCCCACTGCTTGGCCGGTCTTTGGTTTGGTAGATTTTATATATTTTGCAAATGTGTCTCTGATATTCTTCCACCTTTTTTTTACTTCATCACCTAAAAACGATTTTTTCTATAGATTGCTTGCCACTGGTGACACCTTCTATTTCATTGGGCACAGCTTTCGAGTTGGCTTTACAACAGTGAGTGCAATCGTAACCGAAGTCTGTGAAGCGATATGCAGACATATGGAGCATATATATTTACCAGAACCAACAGAGAATATATGGAAAAATGTGCTGAAGAATTTGAAAATAGATGGGGATTTCCCAATTGCATTGGCAGCGTGGACGGTAAACTGTAACAATCAAGAGACCTAACAACAGTGGCTCCAATTACTGGTGCTATTTACATAAATATTCAATAGTACTTATCGCCATTGTTGGCCCGGACTATAAATTTATATGTGTTGATATTGGTGGTTTCGGAAAAAATAGTGATGGGGGTATTTTCGAAACCTCAAACATGGGAAAATGATTTGAACAAAATTTAATGAGTGTCCCTGCACCTAGATTTCTCCCTGGGCAAAATGAAATCTGCTCGTACGTCTTAATTGGTGATGAAGCATTTGCTTTAAAACCATACCTTATGAGACCATTTCCTTATAAGCAGACTTTAACAGACGTCAGAAAAGAGAAATACAATGTAAGACTTTGTCGAGCTAGAAGGGTCGTGGAAAATGCGTTTGGTATTTTGTCTCAATTTTTTACGAAGTAAAAGTGACGATGACAAATATTTTCAATTCTTAGATCCCCCAGAACCCGTGCTTGGAGCTTTTACTGATATAGCAAATGATCCTCGGCGGGCAGCAAGGCTAGCATTTTCTACTCGTGACAAATTCGTAAATTATTTTAATTCTGATATGCCTATGCCCAATATATAGAATGTTCGTTTTCACATTTGTGTAGACTGTAAATTATTTAACAAGTTAATAAAAAATATTAGGTACATACCATTTATATTTAATTCTTTTCCTATTTCCATCCAAATCTTGTCTTTCTTTCTCACATTCCTGTATTCATCGTTCGACAAATCATACAAAAGAGGATACTTTTTCACTATTTCTATCAATAATTCCGTTTTTGCCATTGCGAATTTTTGAAGAACGGCGTCAAAAACGCGGTCAAAGGCGAACTGAAATACGCCGCGATAAAAACGCTGGAACAATCGCATTCGCTTCGCACAAGTCTGAGCCTGTCCGTAAACCGCCGCGTTTTAATCTGATCGCGAATTCATCGCCGCCTCCTTTATACCCTCTCCAGACTCACGCGCGGATCGCGGTGCGAATCCCGAAAACTGCTCCTACAGTTCCATATTCGCAGTATGTTCAAAAAAAAAAACTCAAAGCAGTAAAAAAATGGCCGCTTGACATTGACATAAGTCAATTGCGTTGCCCTATGGCTATGGATGACACGGGACTGTTCTCGCGTTCTCAGTGTTATGTGTTCTGTGAGCTGAAAATACAAAGTTCGTAATGGGGTTGTGGTGCCTAATTAATGCTAATTAATCTATGTGTAATCACTATAATCTGTACGAAAACTGTCTTTTCTGTACTTCGCGGGCCTGCCTGCAAGTTGAAAGGTATGTATTTGTGGTTATCATCAGTTTTTAAGCTGGAATGTGTTTCTTAACCTTGTCTGATTTTCGCCCTTTAATGCGTGTTCTTTACTCTATAGATTCTCCGTGGATTCTCCCTTGTGGCGTGGTTTGATCAAGAGTAGGTCCTGCCATGATTTTCAGAGTCATTGCTAGCTACAACATTGGCAAAGTCAAAAAAGGACGCTGAAACAGCAATTCAGTTATGGCTGAGAAGAGCATCTGATAGAAATACCTATCAAATGAATAAAAAACTTTAAACTTACGCTATACATTGTATTTTCCATTCCAAAATATATGGTCTAGATTTTTTCAATATTCAATTGTTTTATTGTAGAGTTATAGTTTTTATCGAAAAATGGGGTCAAAACAAGTCTTAAAACTGTTATCAAAATCAAAAGACATCTTAAAGTCGTAGTCAACAGACATCTCAAAGATGTCATTTAAAGATGTTAGGATTTGTAACATACGAACATACGTACATTTATAAGACGTATATGAGACATTTTTCCGGAAATCCAAGATATCTTTAAGACAACTTGAACGTACAGAGTAAGATATCTTTTGCACGTTTTTAAGATGTCGTTGTGCTATATGGGGAAGCCGTGAAGAATTTTCAAATGCGATCCACACTCCATGGGTGGCGGGTAGAAGGAAAAATTATACAAAATGAACAATAAAACAATTTTTTCGAGCGCCGAAAAATAATTTCAGATCTCTCTTCAGCGAGCAAAACGTAAGTCTGACTGAAGCCTCAGAAATGTCGAAAAACGAAATTTAACCGTTTTTTGTTTGTTTTTCGACGATAACTCCGCCGCCACTGTACCGATTTTCAAAAACTGCAGAGCTTTTTCGTCGTTTTCATATTATAAGAGAATTTCATCAAAATCCTGATAGTACTTTCAGAGTTATCATCTATTTAATCGTTTCCGTTAGTTATGAAATGCAAGTCAATATATTTCTCAACTAGTCTTGCATTGCAACAGGACATTATAATGAAGCAACTGTAGGCACTTTATAATTTACTGAAATACATATCCTTAGACCAACCATAACTCACCTGCGAAACGTACAAAATATTAGCAACGTGAAAAAAGTGTTGTTATGACAGCCTATGCTTTGTATGTATACTAATTTGATGCATTCTCCTCAAAAATTAGTTACGGAACATACATTATTATGAATATGTAGGTATTCAAATCAAAATACTTCCCACATACCACTACTTCACCACAATCACAGCAAACAAGTAACCCACCATTATGGTGGGTTCATGCACGATTTAAGCTAACTTAAGAAAATGAGCATTTCATGCGCATGCGCGGCCAGGATTGTCAACGTAGCAGTTGAGGCAACATGAAAGCTAAATACCCTTAAATAATCATATGTTTAACGTCAAAGTAGCAGATGAAAGAGTATTTTGTGGCTTATGTGTCACGTGGACTGGCGTACCAGCCTTGACGTTGACAAGTGGCCCCTCCCCACACGCTTGCGCCAATGCAGGTCACAGAACTCGGATAATAGTCCAGATAATATTGGAACATCTGCTCGGAAAACTCTTCCGATTCCTATTTTTGCATAATCTGATTCAAGGACCTCTTAAAGAATCTGCATGTGACTAGGCCCAAAATTGCTCCAAAAATTGTTATTAAACCGATTCCAAAAATTGATTTGTTCGCTTTGTTTAAAGTATTTTGCGGTTTTTAGGACACTCTAAACAAAAAATGAGCTTTACAGTATATTCAGATAAGAGATAGACCGGACATAAACAAGACCACGTGATCATCGAACGCTGTAACATTCGGCAGGGACGTATTAAGAGTCACGCAGTACATATTTTAGATAGTAGATGCTGCTTTGCGTAACTTTGTAGTAAATTAGCACAATTCGATGTGTATACGATTGGTGATGGATATAGGATCATGTGGGGGTGGGGTAAGAAATATATAATGATGTAAATATACATAAGGGTTTCAAAATTTTCGCTTCGATTTCCAGCTTCGGATGCCGCCTGATGTTTGGTGAAATACAGTCGAATATAATCTCAAAATGGCGTTTAAATTAGCCTAAATTAAAAATAATCGTATATCTCTTAAAATTGCTTTTAGAATATTGATTAGTATATTTTTTGATTTCTAGGTAAATATGTAACCAAATTAAAACGTTCAAAAAGTAAAAAAATGTGCATGGTTGAACATTGTCAGAAAGTAGATTCTTGAATAGGTTTTGCCAAAATGGGTTCAAACATCTCAATAATTAATTAAAAAATACAGTAGCTTTATAATTACTTATAACTTACCGAATTTGATGAACGACATCTTTTATTGGAAAGATGAACTTGATGAGCTTTCATCATCGCTACTGCCTGAAGCACCAACGTCAATAATGAATGGCTCGACTTGTTCCTCTATTGTCCAGTTCCCACATTCTCTTTTCAACTTTGTCTTTCACGTGCTTAATACAGTTTTCCCATTTTTGCGCTGTTATTAATTCTAGTGCTTCTTTGAAAAGTCCTTTGAGGTCACAAAATTTAAAAGTTGTATTGTGCTTAGCTATATAATTTTTAACCTCGGCCCATATGAGCTCAATGGGATTGAGCTCGCAATGGTATGGAAGTAAACGGAGCACAGTTTTATTTTGACTTGCTGCCATTTCGTCAATGGCGTATTTTTGATATTCCGCCTTGTGATCCTTGACAATTCTTAATAATTGTACTTTCAGCATTGCTTCTTCAAAGTTAATATTTTTCGAGCGGAGCCAATTTTGAACATCAACTTTCCTTGAAGCTGTTGTTGGGACCTTCTCCATTCTTCGAGAATGATAAGGCGCATTATCCAACACAATTACTGCGTTTTCCTCCAAGTTCGGTAAAATTTTTGAAAACCACTGTTCTAACGATTCGCCATTCATTTCCTCGTGGTAATCTCCAGTTTTCTTAGGCTCAAAGCACCACAGACCGTCAACAACAAATCCATCCTCACTGCCAATATGGCAGATAATGAGCCTTTTCCCTTTACCTGGAAATCGAAGTACTAACTGGTGTAGATTTATTTCAATAAGCGAACCTTTTTCAAATGTTTTCATCACATTCAGCGAAAAAACATTGAGACATGAGTATCACATTGCTATAATTGGGATTATTTAGTCATATTGAAAGAAAGAATATTGAACGTCGTATGATTACTCAGCGCTTCACAATTTAATTTAAAGTTATAAACCTTTAAAAAATGAATGATCAGGAACCTGAAATACGCGCAAATATTAATATTAACAAATTATAACTTTATAAAGCTTAAAGTATGAATTAAAATGATTAGAAATATTAGGAACGGTACACAATATAAAACTTAGTAACTTTTTTTAAGTTTATAATATTCGACATATTTTAAGATTATATTAAAAAATTATTGAAATATCGAAAACACATAAAAACATGGCTTAAAAAAGTTCTAACAAATGAAAATGACAATAAAACATCCAAGCATTTTATCGAAAGTTATAAAAGTTTTGTTACTTGTAATATGTTTTATCTGCCCCCTGGAATTAATGTTTAGAACCTTGTTCCCAAGGTTTGAAAAACATCCGATTGTGACTATTACTCGTATTTACCTGCTGGATTTTTTAATCCGGTGGACAGTCCATCTAGAAAGGCCCTCCTGGATGAAGTTACAGAATCATCAACCCATACTTTACTTGTAGTGTGTCCTGCGTTTACCCACGTTTCATCAAGGTAATAAATCTTCCTGTTTTGATTTCTATATTTCCCAATTTTTGTTAAATAATCCCTCCTCCATAGCACAATTTCTTCTCTATCCAGTAGTAAACTATTACGACCCCGTTTTTTCCATTTGAAATTTAAATGCTTCAGTAACGCATGGAAAGTTGATCGTTTGAAATTTGGCAACGTTGTATCTCCATTTACCTCTTGCAGTACTTTATCTATAGTAGGTATTTCATTCCTAAAGAAGAATTCATGCACTTTCCTCCTAATCGCATGCTTATCAGCTTCATCCAATGATTTAACAATACTTTTGCGATGTTTACTGGTCATTGGCTCAGAAAAGGTGTGATTTTTTTGTATTGTCTTAACACATTAAACACTGATGCGCGACACACCCCAACTTTGTGAGAAACCTTCACAACAATTTCTTTGATGGTTGATGCCTCGTTCTCCTCGCGCTCGATCTTATATATATTCAAAATGACCTCTTTCATTTCTGCACTCAGGTGTCTTTTTTTAGAGCGTTTCCTAGGTGGACTACAGGAGTTTACATCTTCATCGGAAGTATCTGTACTACTGGGCATTTTGCGCAAGCAGTTGATAACAATAACAATCAATAACAAGGTATAACAATAACAACGACAAACTCAATAACTTAATAAGATAACAAACGAAAACGTCCAAAGAAATATCAAATTGCAATGATGCACACGACATACGTAACACGTCTGAACCTGAATGTGACTCTGAGGGCTCCTGTTTTACGTCGAGACGGCGGCGTTAGCGTGAAAATCACCCGAACCTTTTGTTTACATCCGGTCTATCTCTTATCTGAATATACTGTAGAACTTTTCTCTAGACTTGATATATACAGGTATAAGCAATGTAAAAACTCAAAATGTCATTTGCTACCCTAAAAACAATATGAAAAATGAATATTTTGTTGTTGCCAAATCTCACACATGCTTCAACCAACCAATAACAAAACCCCCAGAGCATTTGAATGCGCGCTCAATGTATAGTCTATGTCTATGTGAACGCGAGAGAGATGAAATATCTCTCGTGCACGCTGAATATGCATTGAGCGTCCGCTTGCATATAAATTAAATACAAAGATTTATAATAACAGTATCTCCTAAAAGGTATCGTTAATGGTTATTTATGAAGCATGGCGACATTAACATTTTCGTTTTTTTCAGATCGTTTTTCGGTATCGCAAAATCAATTTTTTGTACTTTCCCATCTCGTACAAAATCAATTTTTGACAAACATTGTCAAACATCATTTTGTTTCGGAGTATCAAAAAAACAAATGCTACCTTTGATGAAGCGAAAACATTAATTTTTGTAATTTATTTGAAAAAGTTGTTCAAACAATTAGAGACGCAATTTGGAGCCTGACAACATGTAGATTTGTTACTAGGAGGCTTTTTCGAATAACATGCAAAAAGCCCGAATCCGAAT